TAGCTAAACTGCTCCAACCTAAGCAACATTCTGATGAATCACCTCTGCACTCCCTCCAGTGCAGTACAGAAGGACTGTAACATGATTAGAGATGGGGTTTTCTGGATAACATGATAAAGTGAGTCTGCCATCTCAAGTGGTTACAAAAGGTCAGGTGGCTGCCATCTTGAAGACAAGTAGGTTTTCCTAATGCCCTGGTCAATGCTTATCCTACAGTCAAGAGGAGCCTAACAGCTTACTCTTGTTCCTATTTCTTATGGTCATATGGTCTAAGAGTGGAAAAATAGATGACCACATTGTCATCACCTTGCTCTTTGTGGGAGTTTGCTCAGTCACAATTTGCCTGCTGTATTCCCTAAATAACAAAAGTGGTTGTACTTTAAAAGTATTTCTTTGGCTTTAAAGTGTTTTGGGATGTTGTGAAAGGTGTTATATAAATGCATATCTCTTTTATGTATTATACAAATGCGTAGTAGGAGTCTGCAAGATTTGTTGGATGGAGATTTAATTGAGTTTTTTGAAAGATGGCTAGATATATTGATGTAGTTTACATGGTCTTCAGAAAGGCCTTAGTCAAGGTCCCACATGGAAGACTAGTCCAAAATGTAAGAGCCCATGGAACCCAAGGTAAGTTGGCAAACTGGATTCAAAATTGGCTTGCAAAAAGGAGGCAAAGGGTGATTGTGCAGGGTGGTTTTTGTGATTGGAAAGCTGTGCCCAGCGGTGTACCGCAGGGATCAGTGCTGGGACCCTTGCTGTTTGTGATGTATATTAATGATTTGGACGCGAATGGAGAGGTATAATTAATAAATTTGCAGATGACATGAAAATTGGTATTGTTGATATTGAGGAAGATGGTTTCAGGTTCCAGTCTGATATTGATCAGCTGATAAATTGGGCAAAGCAACGGCAGATGGAATTTAATTCTGATAAGTCTTAGGTGGTGCATATTGGGAGATCTAATACTGGAAGGACATACACAATAGATGGTAGAGCCCTAGGGAGTACTGAGGAACAAAAGGACCTTGGAGTATAAGTCCACAGATCCCTGAAAATGCTAGCACAGGGTGGTGAAGAAGGCATATGGGATGTTTGCCTTCATCAGCCAGAGTGTAGAATATAGGAGCAAGGAAGTCTTGTTACAACTTTATAAAATAATAGTTAGGCCACAGATGGAACACTGTATGCAGTTCTGGTCACCACACAATCAAAAGGATGTGATTACAGTGGAGACAGTGCAGAGGAGATTCATCACGATGTTGAGTTTCAGTTATGAGGAGAAACTGGATAGGCTGGGCTTGTTTTCCCTGGAGCAGAAAAGGATGAGGAGGGATCTGATTGATGTATAGCAAATTATGACAGACATAGATAGGATAGATCATAAAAATCTTTTCCCCATGTCAGAAGACCAGAGGGCATAGGTTCAAGATGAGGATTAAGTGGTTTAGAGGGGATTTGAGGAAAAGTTTTTTTTCACCCAGAGGGTGGTAGCTATATGGAATGCACTGCCTGAGAGAGTGGAGGCAGGTATTCTCACGACATTTAAGAAGCATCTCGAAAAGCATTAGATGCCAGGGCATTGTAGGCTATAAGCCAAGTGCAAGTAAATGGGATTAGTGTAGTTTGTGTTAATTGGTCAGCATAGATATGGTGGGCTGCAAAGCCTGTTTCAAACACTAAACAAAATAAAAAACCCAAAGAACTGCAGATGCTGGAAATCAGAAACAAAATCAGAAATTTCTGGAGAAACTCAACAGGTCTGGCAGCATCTGGGGAGAGAAACAGAGTTAACATTTGGAATCTCTTCTTCACTTTCCACTGGTGTGAACCTGGCTATTTAATCCAGGAACAATATTATGAAGATAGGTGAAGTTAGAGTGAATATGATATTTCCTGTAACTTGCCATTGTCAGTAATAAATGACAAAACAATCTCTCAAACAGGAAAGGAACTATGATTGAACTGAGCCAAATTATTTGCAATGGGGCTTGTCTGACACTGAGGAAGTTCCATGAAAGCATCAATGGGAAGGAACACAAAAGATGAATTAGACATCAGAAGGCTGAAGCCAAGATAAAAGGCAATGTACAGATGAAAATTTGCAAGGCTAGGAAAGTGGCTCGTGTGCAATAAGTGACAGATTGGTGAAAAGTGGTGAAGTACTTCCAAGAATGAACATTGACCAACCATAGACAAAAAGCAGTGATACTGATGGTAAAGGAGATAAAAGGATGTAAAATAGGTGCAAATGTTAGATGTGAAAATGTGAAAAAGTGTTTCTGCCTTGATGACAGCAAAGCCAACCCAGGTACAAATAAGTCACAGTTAGGGGAGGGTGGGGGATGTAGGAAAAATGGCATACATACTCTGAAATTGTGGGACTCAATATTAATTCCCAGAGGCTGTCAAGTACCCAAGCAGAAAATGAGATGTTGTTTCTCCAGCTTTTGTCGTGCTGATTGCTTGTCAATACTTAATTATAAAACTGTATTTTACGTATTGTGTCAGATATGGTTCAATGGGCGACTTCTGTGTCTCTGAATTAAAAGGGTACAAGATCCAAGTTGCACTCCACAGCCCTAGGCACATCATCTAGTCTGAGGTGTCATCATTCAGATCAGACATAAAAGATCAATGGGGAATTCATCTGAAAAAGAGCAGCAAGGACCTAGTTAACATTTATCCCATAGACAACATCATGAAAAATATAAATTGCCTGCTCTCCACAAGTTGACAAGTGAATCTCCTAATTTAGAGTCATGACACAGATTGATATCATTCAGCCCATCAAGTGCATGTCAGCTTGTTGTAGAACAGTCCATTCAGTTCCAATTGCTAGCTCTGTCTTTTCTACGTTTACAAAGGCTCCCCAATTTCTGAATGGCCAACTTACAAGCACTTAATAAATGTGATCCCATACAGGAGTGTATTAGCATTAACTTTAAAGATTCAACACAGAAACAGTTCCTTCCACTTACAAACAGCTATTTTATATTGAAAACGATAGAACTGCGGATGCTGTAAATTAGGAACAAAAACAAAATTGCTGGAAAAGCTCAGCAGGTCTGGCAGCATCCGTGAAGGAAAAAAAGAGTTAACGTTTCGGGTCTGGTGAACTGGAGGAACTTACCCAGTTCTGAGGAAGGGTCACCGGACCCGAAACGTTAACAGCTAGTTTATATTGCCCTGCATTGTGTTCCAACTTGCAAACAAATTGATTTGCAAATGCACTCAAGAACTGAACATGTTCGCAACCCGGAGACTACCTATAATACCCATATGTGCCCATCAATTTCATTAACGTCCTGTACTATCATTGATTCGATGAGCCAGTGGATAAATCTGTTCTCTGCAGGCCAAGTGACAAATATGTACAGCCAAGCCACAATATAAAAGCAGCTCCCTATTTGCATTAGTGATTATTTGGTTTTGATTGTGTCAGGAATGATCAGAGTATGGGTCAAAGCACAGCATTTCATCATAATCCTGGTACCGGCAGAGACAAATGTACCAATGCTGGTAATTTTTCTACAATTACCCCCATTTCCACTCCAACTTTCACTTCCATTCCTCACTCACCGCAACCTTCACACCCAAAGGACATTCCTTGGTTATGGACAGAGGGGATGGGAGGTCGATTGTTATATCATCTTGAAGATTGGGGTGACAGGCTACCATGGATGGCAGGGTAGAGTAGTTATTTGTCCATCAGCTGAGTACACAACAACAGAATCATCAAAGAGAAAAATGATTATTTTCTATAGTGGCTGAAAGCAAACTTCCAGCTCTTCCTAGCCCTCAAGGAATGCTGGAAAATACACCGCTTCTGTGGAGTCAGGAGATGCCACCTCCCTTTCACTGGCCGGATTCCTAAATGCTGAAAGTTCTTCACACCATGTGCAGGATTTAAATTGAGCTCTGAACTGAACTGTAGGGGTCCAATTTAAATCATAATAATTCTTGCAGGAATTTTCAATGTGACAAGAGGCTTGTAGAATCATGGAATCCCCACTGTGCGGAAACAGGCAATGTGGTCCATCGAGTTCACACCAACCCTCCTCTCAGCACCCACTCCCAGACCCACCCCTATCCTTTCCCTGAAACCCTGCATTGCCCATGGCTAATCCACCTAGCCTACACATCCCTGGACACTTTGGGCAATTTAGCATGGCCAATCCACCTAGCCTGCACATCTTTAGACTGTGTTTGCATACTTTTCATTAGTTTGCACAGAATGACTTTTTTAATGTTGTTATTCCACATTTTTTTGGGCAGGTCCTGGATTTAAGTAGACAATAAGAAAGTCAATGAAATCAATTTGTCTCCATTTCTGAGCAAATTTATTGGTTCCCTGGTTAACCACTATTTATATATTGCTTTTCAGACTCGATCTTTGTATACTACAATCACCATTGTTCATCCAACAAAAAAGAATCATTGCTTTATCTTTTTGTCCTGTGTAAGCTTTCTAGGCCTTGCACTGAACACAATGGATTTGTTTGAGCCGTAATACTTTTCATAATATGGATTACATGTTCATTTTTTTTTTAAAAATTGAGTTTGGGAATCACTAGCAACACCAGCATTTAACGCCCATCTCTAATTGCCCTGAAGAAATTGGTGGTGAATTGCATTCTTGAACTGTTAGGAAGGGAGTTCCAGGATTTTGACCCAGTGATGTTAAAGGAATGGCCACTATGGATCCCACTCAGGATGCTGTACGGCTCAGAGGGCATCACAAGGGATGGTATCTGCTGCCTTTGTCCATTAGGTGGTGATGGTCATTGGCTTGTGAGGTTCTGTTAAACAACATGTATTACATAAATAGAATACACATCAGAGAACAATGGAACATCTTCTATTCAAAAGAGACTTTGATATTCCAACTTGTGCCTGATTATTATTCTCATGAATGTGGTTAAAGGTGTTTTTATCACAATTGTCTTCCTTAAGCTTGAAGAACTGGATTTAGAATTATGCTCACGATTGAGACCACAAAATACAGGGTAAGCATGGTTTTATTCACATCATGGTTGTCTTATTTGCCACAAACACATCATTTTAATTGCACTTCCAATTCTTAGTTTATTTAAACATTTGCTTCTCGAGTGTCCCATTTATATAGACAACAAACATAGCTGGAAACTAGGGACTAGTTACTAAATAACATCAATGGTCACAAAGACATTCAACAAACTCTTCAGTTAATTTCACAGGAATAGTTGTACAATTATTACACAGACTGCAAAAAATGAAGACACATTAAATTTCAAATTCCAGGAGGCATGTGGCCTTTTTGTTTTTCTTCTAACTGCAGAAAAATAGAGGGTCATTACAATCAAAGAATGACAACACCATAGGAAGCCATTTGGTCCATTATGTCTCTCTGTAAAAGCTACTCAGCTAGACCCACTCCCCTGCTTTGTCCCTGTAGTCCTGCAATTCTTGGGTTTCTCTTCAGAGAATTATCCAATTCCTTCATGAAAGCATTGATTGAATCTGTCTCAGGCACATTCCCTGGGAGGGTGCTCTAGATCATAATCACTCTTTTACAATTAGAAAGTCATTGAGGCCCACCAGACTACTCTGCAATTCAGTTAAATCATGGCCGATGTGCACCTCTATTTCCTTTTAAGTGCCCTCACTCCATATCCCCTTTTATTTTTGTCTTCTGATTTCATTCTTGAAAGCTCCACTTGTTCCCTCTGCTTCAACAGCTTAAAGGAGGACAGAGTTCCAGAAACAAAATGAAGTGTTGCAATGTGACAACAAGAAAGAAATCACAACAAATTCACAGTAGTCTCTCCAACATCAGGATCAACTAGTTGGATGGTGCTTGAAGTAAACGGGGGAGGAAGCAAAGGCACAAAATGAAACAGTAAAACACGATGACGTTCATTTCAATTCAGCACTGAACTGTACAAGTCATTATTAATGTAGCTTTGGTTCATGAAATTCAATATAGACAAATGTGATGTTCTCTGTATTGGAAGGAGAAACAGGCATCACAAAGGACATTTTAAAAGGTGAATTGGAAAGGGATTTGGGACTGTTAAAAAATTCAGTGCTTACAATTACCAAAGAGAAGCAACAACCAGAACAAATGCTTAGTTGCAATGCTCAAGCAGTCTAATGTAAGTGAGAGGATACTAGGCTAAGATAATACATTCCCTAGTCAGACTACATCTTATCCTATGGAGGAAATATAGAAAAATGAATGAAATTGATTCCTGGCATCAAAGAATATAAACACCAGCACAAATAGTTGACCCAAAAGCCTGTTTTTGTGCTGTACATTCTGTGTGAGGGATAGATTAGAGAAACTGGGCTCTTTACACTTAAAACAGGGTAGCTGGAAAATAAACTTATAAAATTATACAAGTAATATAATTTATGTCCAAATTTCCCCTCTAAGCCTTTCCTCTTTTCTATCTCTCCTCCTTTAAGAAGATCAACCTCTCTGGATAAATGATGTTCTAATATCTCCTTGCACCTGTCAGTTATACTTTGTTTGGTATATTCACATGAAACACTTTGGGATGTTTAGCTATAGTAAAGGCATTATATAAATGCAGGTTGTTTAATTGGGTAAGTCTAAAAACTAGAACAAGAGACCATAGGTCAAAACTAGTTAAATGATCATTCAAATTTGAAAGGATTTCTTTATGCATAAGGAAAAGACCAGAGGACTGATCTTCCAGGTAGGATTGTGAAAGAGACATTATCTAGTGTCAGTTCTGACTTAGTCAAGTTCCATTGGCAGACAGGTTGCACAGACAACCTTTGCATTTCTTTGAATAAAGAAGATTAAGGGTGATTTAATTGAGGTGATTAAAATGATCAAAGGAGTTGATAGAGAAACTGCTTTCTCTGCTGGTAGTGTCCAAAATCAGGATTAGCCTTACAATTGGAATTGGGCCATTCAGGGGTATTCAATAGATGTACTTCAAGAAGGGTAGGGGGGGGTGGGGTCAACCGAAAAACAAGATTGATAATACTTCTGCCTGACAAAGTTTTAAGGATTACAGAACCAAGGCAGGTAGATGGAGTTAAGATATATGTGAAGGATGATGGCAGAACAGGCTCATGCCAAATCCCCATTTCTGTCCCTGTACTCCTAAGACACAATGGAGCAATGCAAAACTTTATTCATTTTGGATAGGTGTTTTACGACAGCCCAAATGGATTCCTTAATCTACATCTGCAATGGGAAATTGAAGTTACTGTATGTCAGTAAGTAACGCAATCCATGTACGCTCCCACGTTAGTCTGACGTGCCACTCGTGTTTGACCTCTATTGCTTTTCATCTTCACGTTAACATGTACACACAGTCTACTACACCAAAATTGGTCTTCACCTAACTCCACTGAACAAGTGGTTAAACAAAATTCTTCCACCAATTGATGGAAATTTAGAAATTGACATCAATTCTCCATTTGCATCATTATCCAATTTAAGACAACAACTGGTCAATTTGCAAAGGAGAGAAAATACTGATAAGGAGTCAGATCAGAACTTTCACTTCATGTTAAAACAAACACCATTAGTTAGTGAGAAAAGAAAGACTGAGAGAGGAAGAGTATGTTGGATTATGCAGGCTAAGCTGAAATGTTAATAACATGTATGAATAATTTAAGTAGAAAAATATTTTAAAGAGGCACTGTTGTTTTATTGAAATTCTATGCTAAATTGTGCTTATTCGCCAAACACTGCTAAGACACCACATCAAAAGGAACGATTAGTTACAATAAAACCTCTGGAATAGAGACTACCACTAATCTGTATATTCCTTCTTTCTGATGTCAGTAAACAGTGCCTCTCAATTTTTTAGTTTTCAGATTGGGTGATACCTTAAAACAGCATGTGTAAATAATTCGGGGCTTGATTTTAAATCATAATTTTTTAAACTAAGCCCACTCAATGCAAATAGGACAAGTTATCATATGATCACTCAGAATCAACCAGTACCAAACCCCTAGCCTTTTGTTAGTAGGTAGGCCATCAAAATTACTTCACAGCATATCTGAGTTGTTCTACTGAAGCAATATGTTACATTCAAGCACGAAAGATTGTGGGGTCAATTGCAACGCACTTAACATTGTTCAGTTTTGCTTAACTGTCAGAAAGCAATTAACAGAGTTATTAAGGCTAGGGGCATCGACCAGTCAAGATTATGTTTAGATAAAAATTAATTCCACAATTACACTCACTAGGTCTAAACAAAGTTACATGTTTTGAATAATGTTTTTAAAACATACATAATGTTCTCAACCAAACAGTACTTCATATAATCAGAATATGTATTAGAAAGCAGAATTCTGCTACTCTATCCTAATCCACATTAGTATACTCAGCCTGATGTTTCACTTAAGATTGTGACATTATACTTCACAAAAGAATGTGACAAATTTAATAGGTATAGGCAGGTTAAATTATTGCACACCTCTGAATGCTGCGTGCATACGACATGGATTGTTGCAAAAATAAGATAATAAATATATTTAGCTTTGGCTTTATGAGAACACATAAGAAGGAATGTGCACATTTTCAGGTTAAACTGAATGTTACTGATAATATAACAGGAATCCAAAATCCGACAAGGTGCAAACATGCTTTCAAGTAAAAAAAATCCCCAGGCTAAGTGGTCCATCCTTGTATTTTGTGCTGGACGCAGTGGTGTCCATGGAAGACAAGTGTTTCTTATGACTATAAATGCTACTTAACATTAGGCTTTAAATACATTTTACCCAGAGGAAATTATGGATGGCAGAGTGGCACAATGGGAGCACCGTGCTACAGTGCGATAAGAGCTTTAAATCCCTGATCTCAGCTGTGTTACTACAAGGAGGAACTCAATTGCAGCTTCATGGGGTGGAGGGGGTAAGATGAGAGAGAACAGGAACAGTAAAAGGTATTTGTCAACTCCAGCCATCTCCCATGCCTCCTCACAGCTACAAACTACTATGATGAGATGCCGGCGTGGACAAAGTCAGAAGTCACATGACACCAGGTGATAGTCTAACAGGCTTATTTGAAATCACACGCTTTCAGAGCACAGCCCCTTTGTCAGGTGGAGTCAGGGGCAGCGCTCAGAAAGCTTCTGATTTCAAATAAACCTGTTGGACTATCACCCGGCTTCGTGTAACTTCTGACTTTGTCCTACAAACTACTGCTAGGTTTCTTGTGAATCAATTGTCCACCTACCTTTTTGGCTTCGGTTTGTTCATAATTCTTTGTAACGGAGAGCAGAAGGGGGAGGAAAGTTTGAATGTGGATCTTACAAAGAGTAACAAGAAAATATTGAATGTAGCATATGTCTAACAAAATAGTTTTAAGATTCACCCCAAAAAGAAAGATTGCATGAAGATCTCTACTTCCCAGTGTATTTGTTTTCCAGAAATAAATAGTACATTCCTTTTACTATGTCCAGTAGAACATTTTATCATTTGAATCTATTTTGTAGTTTGTATATTCCTTACAGATATTTCATCTTAGCCCCAGACTGAATTCTGAGTAGATAAGAATGCATAAATATTTTTCATACTTCTGTAGCTCCATAAATATACATATGACTTAACAAAAATATACATTCTCAAAATAAGATATTATTGGGATTAGGCTGTAAAAATAGTCACAAAATAGTACTGAGGCGTAAGCACTAAATGCCGTCAATTGATTATATTATCAGTAACACTCTTCAAATCATCCTGACTATGCACATCCTTCAATAGATGATACTCCTTTTATCAGACTGCTTCAGATAAGACATGAATGTAGAAAAAAACGTCACTATTGTGGAGCTGACAGTCGTTCCTACCACAGCAATCAAACCAGTCAGTCAGTCATCGTGCACAGTTGCGCGACATGAACAATAACACACGTCTAATGCCATTCAAGCGTTCCTGAAGCGTTGTCATGGCGAGGAAAGGAAGCTGAGCCCGACTCTCGAGTGGCAGCACAGCCAGCAACCACCAGCACCAGCCTGGGCCATTGGGACTGGCCTGCAGAACAAGTAAAAACATAAAACAACAAATCAGCTGCAAGCACACGCAGCGAGCTCAAAATCAGTTTTACTCAGAGTCATAGAGATGTACAGCACGGAAACAGACCCTTCGGTCTAACTCGTCCATGCTGATCAAATATCCAAAATTAATCTAGTCCCATTTGCCAGCCCATATCCTTCTAAATCCTTCCTATTCATGTACCCGTCCAGATGTCTTTTAAAATGTTGTCATTGCACCAGCCTCCTCCACTTGAGTTGCCTGAATTGAGTTCTTGGCGACTCCAGAAATTAAAAACTAATCTCCAGAACACTTCTTCAAGCAACCAAGGAGAAAAATCAATGAAAAATAGCATTTTGCCTTGGAACAAGCTAGGATTCTTTTGCCTAGAAAAGATGAGAGGTGACCTAATGGAGATCTTTGAAAATTTCACATTTTCAATTTTGGGGCAGCACGGTGGCTCAGTGGTTAGCACTGTTGCCTCACGGCGTCAGGGGCCTGGGTTCAATTCCAGCCTCGGGCGACTGTCTGTGTGGAGTTTGCATATTTTCCCCGCGTCTGTGTGAGTTTCTTCCCACAGTCCAAAGATGTGCAGGCTAGGTGGATTGGCCATGCTAAATTGCCCATAGTGTTCAGGGATGTGTAGATCAGGTGGGTTATAGGGGGATGGGTCTGGGTGGGATGCTCTGTGGATCGGTGTGGACTTGTTGGGCCGAAGAGCCTGTTTTCACACTGTAAGGATTCTACAATTCTATGATAGTTTGTTAGGCCACATAAACAGAAGGCGTTCTCACTTGCGTCACAATCCAAAACCAGTCACCACAAGTAGGAGTTAAATACAAGTAAACCTAACAGCGAATTCAGATGAAAATTCTTTAACCAGAGACTGATTAGATTGAGGAGTTCACTCCCACAACAAATTGTGAGGACCAGTGAACAGCCTAGAAGCATTTCAGATGAAATTACTCAAATAAGTGAGAAAGGCGTAGAAGCTGGTGTTGATGGGATTAGCTAAAAAAAAAAGGGACGGGAGAAGGCTTGTGCAGTCACTCTGTCAAATAACCAACTTCTGCAACGTAAAAGCTATTGGTAAAGCTTGGGTTGAACGTCTACTTGTTAAAACAATTTCCAAAAGTAATTCTGGTATGTGTGCAGCTCTGAGCTAATGCACCTGTATATCTGTATCCTTCCTTGGCATTGGTCCAAAGTGGCTGAGAATTCGAGTCTTCAATACTTGCTTGAGTGAGCTGAACCACAGGTATGCCTGATCATAGACAAGGTCATGCAGACGAACGAGTTCAGCGTAAGCTTCTCCCTCTACCTGTTCGGTGGAAAGATTCACGAGATTACAGAAGATTCAGTGCACACGTTAGAGAAATTCCTTGACAAAAGATCAGATGAATGGCACATGGCTATAGATGTACTTCTACTCGTTTTGCCTCCCACCAATTAATGCGTTCGTCATATGTTAAGATAATCAGTGAGGAAACCAGAGGAAAAATAAGGAGAAACTCTGTGAAGCAGTGAGTTATAACGATCTGGAATGCATTGACTGAAAGGGTGATGGAAGTAGACTCATTAGTGACTGTTAAGAAAATTGGATAAAAACTTGAACATCATAATTTCGTAGGCCGGTGGTTAAAAAGCAGGACCAACACACGGCCTAAATGACCTCCAATTGCTCTGTATAATTCTACAAGCTTAGTCAGAAACAAACAGAATGCTGGAGAAGCTCAATGGGTCTGAAGAAGAGTCATAAGAGACTCAAAGGGTTAACTCTACTCCTCTCCATAGTTGCTGCCAGACTTGAGTTTCTCCAGCAATTTCTGTAGTTGTTTCAGATTTACAGCATCTGCAGAAGCTTGCTTTCTATGAGTTTAGTCAGAGCTTAATGAATTGTGGGAAAATCCTATGAAAAAATAAGATTTAACTCTAAAAACAGTCTTTCCCGTATTGACTCCATCAACAGCAGTCTGCATTTGTCAAAGTAAAATGATGCGTACAGAGTATTCTTGATAAAGCATACCTTTTTATCTTCAAGGTATTCAATATCTGCAGTGCTGTATCCGTCCTTTTCACTGTGTCGTAACACTTTAAACCTTCTTCTGCCAATAGTGTCCACAACTGAACGACCGTCCGAAAACAACTCAACACTTCTGACCTCCAGCATACAGCCATAATCAGCAAAACTGTGCAGGATAAAATGAGAAAAATGTTGTTATCTCAAAACTATAACCAGCCACGTAGAGGCTGAAGGGGCTCAACGGGTAATATTTCTGATGTTGGAACATTGTTCTCTCACGTCCCACTCCGGGAACTTGAGCTTACAATCCCAATGCAGTGCTGAGGGAATGCTGCAGCTCTGGAGGAGCTGCCTTCAAAAAAAGAGATGTTAAACTGAGGCTCTGTTTGCCCTCACAGGTGGAGGCTATTTCAAAGAATGGTTTAATTACTGTTTGTGGGAACTTGTTGTGCGTCAACTGGTAATCATGTTTCCTACTTTACAATATATACAACACTTTACAAGTACGGCAACAGCTGTATTCCGGATGCCTTGAAGCAATTAATGGTGCTATGTAAATGCAAGATGTTTATTTCAATAATCTATGCTTTGATCTTGCATAAAGTGATTGTAATTTTTACCACACATAGCTCATTTTTATGCATTTGATCTTGGGATCTGTACTGGACTGGATGGTATTTATCGCCCATTGGCCACAAGAGAATACTAATCAGGCTGGAGTCAAACATTCTTGTTCCTGAGAGACACTAGTTAACCAGTTGGATTCACTTTTAGTCTCGGGTACTATTCCAGAAATCGTTACTGAATTTCTCTTCTGAAACCTGACCTGGTAGGATTTGAACTCATGATCTCCAGGTTATTCAATAAGCAATAGAAAGACTTGGCTCGCGCATCTATTGCGTAACACTACCTTAAAGGGAATTTGGAGCAGAGTTGGAAAGATTTTACATCATCCAGCCAAGAAGAGTCAACCTTGAAATTCCACTTCAGAGTGATGCATATCCAATAGAAAAGCAAAGAGCACAAAACAAGCTGCAGAGTCAACATGCCCGATCTGGAAACACTATGTAGTTAATTGTATCCAGATCATAAATACAGTCAACAAGCAAGGAGCTTAAATGCCTTCTGTTAATTACTTTGGCAGTAAACACAACATGAAAGTAGAGCAGGACTTCCTACATGAACTGACTTACATGGAATATAGCACAGACACTGTCCATTCAGCCCAACCTGTTCATGCCAGTGCTTTTGCTCCACATCAGCTTCTTTTTATCCCTCTTCATGAAACCTTATCCACCTTACTTTTTGTTTACAGAGCTGTACAGCATGGAAACAGACCCTTCGGTCCAGCTCATCCATACCGACCATATATCCTAAATTAATCTAGTTCCATTTGCCAGCATTTGGCCCATATCCCTCTAAACCCTTTCTATGCACGTACACATCCAGATGCCTTTTAAATGTTGTAATTGTACCAGCCTCCACCACTTCCTCTGGCAGCTCCTTCCATACTTATCTAATGTCCCTTTATGACGAGAATCTAATATTAGGGACAGATTGACGGTGATTGGAAAAATATATGGAGAGAATCAGCTCAAGGTTCTGAATGACTTACACCTGTTCCAATTTTCTTACGTTGCAGAGGTAGTTCTCTTTGAAACACTATTTTCTATAATTAGTGTCTTATTTTCTTGAAGACATGCCTGAGCAACTTTTGGGGAATGAAGTGTGATTTCTCCCATAGATCATTTGAGTGAAGAAAGTATTCTTACTTGGGATTTCAGTTAATACTGAGGAAGACTGCAGCAAAGAAAGATATTAATTAGTAGTGTGGGGGTGAAATTTGTGAATGAATTTTAATTTAGCAGTGCGTTTCAGAAGTAAGAATGAGGGCACTATATACCCTTTGGAAAATAAGAGCCAACATGGGGCAAAAGGAACAATGGGAACACGGGGTGTAAATCTTTAAAAGTAATGCTGGGGTTTGCAGCTTTATTCTCTGTAAGAAGTATTATTGAGCAGCAATCCAACGGAGTTCTTTCTCTCTACTCAGCTCATATTTTTTCAAATGCTAAGTCAATCTCTCCCTAATATTAGAATCTAATAGCTTCCCCACAACATATCAGACTAACTGATCTATAAGTTTCATAATGCAGCACAGTGCCACACTGCTGCCTCACAGCGCCAGGGACCTGGATTCAATTCCAGCCTTGGGTGACTGTGTAGAGTTTGGACAGTCTCCCCTTGTTTGCATAGCTTCCTCTGGGTGCTCGGGTTTCCTCCCGCAGTCCAAAGATGTGCAGATAAGGTAGATGGTCATGCAATGTGTGGGTTAGCCGAGTTAACCATCACCAAAGCAAAACTACGAGGGGTAATGGGGTGGGACTGGGTTGGATGCTCTTCAGAGGGCTGATACAGACTCGATGGGCCAAATGGACTCTTTCTGCACATATTCCAAGATTGTACAACTTCTCTTTCCCTCAAATAAAAGACAAAGGTGCACAGTCCTAATGGACCATAGGGTTACTCTCTCATCAGAAAGTGAGAGAGACAATTGGTGGATTAACTTGAGTGTTACCGCCCCTCAGAGGCAAGGAGTTAAGTTTGTAGGATAATTCTTCATGGTAACTGCAACTAGTGTAAGAATTGAATCTATGTTGTTGGCATTGCCTCTGTATAGTATTAGGAAACCAGCTGTCCAACTAACTGAGCTAACCAACTCCCCCAAAGCCGCCTCTTAAATAATGAGCTTTCAAATATACACAGACAAAAAATAAAATCAAGATATATTTCAAACATTATAGTAGGAGCACATATGATTCCCCTACCTACTGTTTTTAAACACTCTGGGTTGCAAACCATCACTATCTGAAGACAAATAAATTTTTCGGTTTTATTATTCTGTCCATTACCATCTCCTATATTAGCTCCATTAAACACTTTCCCACAATGTATTATTCATTTTCCCCAAATATCTAGTGCTTCAGATGAAATATCTCAGGACCACAGTAACAAGAAATATTGAAACAAAAGTTACTGGAAATAAAATAGCAAGTTCCTAAAGAAGAGAGGCATGCAAAGATAAAGTCACCTTAGCCATATCAGACCATAGGGCTGCTCTCTAATGCGAGAGACAGACAATTGATGGCAGTTTAACCAGAGAGTCCCCATGCTTCAGGTGAGGAGAGAGGTTGAGAAGCAGAGTACTTCATTGTAACATCAGCTCGTGCAGGAATCAAATCCACAGTATTGCCATCACAAACCAGCCTTCCAGCCCTCTAAGCTGAGGAGGCATAAATAAATTGACTGATAAGAAAATCTGAAACAGCTTTACGTCTCTTAATGTGCTAATCAGGCTGCTTTGTGATGCTCTTTTGATTCTAGACTTTTCAAAGACATATTAATAATAAAAATATTACAAACTTCAAAATCAGCACAAGTAATTTTAACAAGTGATTGGAGGAAACTGTTTTATTGGCAAATGGACCAGTAATGAGTTATCACTTATCATAGATTTATCACAGAAACCGATCCTTTGATCCAACTGGTCCATGCCAACCAAGTTTTCCAAAATTAAACTAGTCCCACTTGCCTGCATTTGGCTCATATCCCTCTAAGCCTTTGTATCCATGTACCTATCCAAATGTCTTTTAAATGTTGTAACTGGATCTGCATCAACTACTTCCTCTGGCAATTCATTCCGCATATGAGCCACCTTCTGTGTGATAAAGTTGCTCCTTAGGTCCCTTTTAAATCTTTCTCCTATCGCCTTAAAAACATGCCCTCTAGTTTTGAACTTCTTTGAGGAAATTAAGCAGAACATAGTGATGGAGAGTTTTTTATTCCTATTTATTAAACTCAGCATGGTATGTTGATTTGGAATACAGTATCTGAAAGGGCAGTGAAAATGGACTCAGGAGGAAATTTCAAGAGAATTGCTGAAATACTTGATGGAGAACAAAAATCGTAGGACAACGGGGAAATGGAAACGTAATGAGTCTAAGTAGGTCAATCTTTAAGCAAATGGCACAAGCACGATGACCCAAATGATCTCCTTCTGTGTTACAGACCATAAATATATAGCTAAGTTTCCAAGTCTTTCCATGGCCTCAACCTTTGCTGTCCCTGTGATCTCCTCCAACCCTACAAACCTCTGAGATCTCCCTGCTTCTCCATTCTAATGGTTTGTACACCCCCATTTTAATAGAGTCAGCATTGGAAGAAAGGGCTTCAGCTCCCTTCACCCTGAAAATTCATCCTGATTCCTCTCTACTTCTTATGTTTCCATTTATGATGTCCTTTACACCCTACCTCTTTGGTCAAGCTTCTGGTTAATGGCTCAATACCTCATGCAGCTCAGTATCACTACCTCGTTCAGTTAAAACACATCTGTAATCGCTGTAATTGACCAAAACTCCTCTGATCTCTGAAAACTGTTTAGCTATCATCTTCTGGACCCCTTGCCTTAGTCTGGTAAGAACTAAGTCTGCTTTTAACATCACAGCCAGACTTCAGGTAGAGCTTAGCTTGCTTCAAGTCTAAGTCTCCTTCGCAAACCAGCTTTCTGGAAAATTCTTGTTATCGTCCAAAAAGTGGATCAAGTCTCATATTGGCTTCATCAACTTTAAGAGGTATTCTTCGTATGTGCACATAGCCAACCGACTCCTGCAGGAATTTGGGGTTGAACGAAAAAGAATCTTCACTGGATACTACATTTCTGGATTCTGACAGATCATGAAAGTTAATGTCCTTTTTAAGAAGTTATTCTCAGTTGTAAACTTTTTCCTCCTTTTATATCTTGCATGTGTTTGTGCGAGTGCGTCTGTGTGTTACAACGATCATCCCCTGAATTTGAAAACATAAGACATAGGAGTAGAATTAAGCCATTTGGTCCAGTGAGTCCGCTCTGCCATTCAATCACAGCTGATGTGTTTCTCAACTCCATTTACCTGCCTTCTCCCCGTAACCCTTGATCCCTCTACCAATCGAAAATCTATCTCTGTCTTAAATACACTCAATGACGTTTCCTCCACAACCTTAGGCAACAAGGAGTTCCACAGATTCAACACCATCTGGGTGAAGAAACTCCTCCTCATCTCAGTTCTGAAGTAGCATCCTGTCACTCGGAGGCTGTGTCCTGGTTTCTCCTACTAGTGGAAACTTTTTCTCCAGGAAAAACGGGGAATGAGTTCCACAGATCTGAATATGCTCAAAATATGGAATAAAAAATGAATCCAATTGATCTCTTTCCCCTCTCTGTGACACTACTTACCCTTTAACTGGATCACTTAAGCACATTCCAAATTGTTTGTTGCCAGTCTCCATGCATCTTCTGATCATTAACCGGTAACGGGGTTCGAAGATGTGTAGTGGGCATGGGACAGTGGGGTACGCCATAGTGCAGATAAATATTGGCACAGCTTTGTTGAGACTGGAGAAAAAAACAAACATTCCTTAACCGTCAAGTACATAATCCATTTTACATACTTAGGTAACATTTTAATACAACCAAATACAAAGAAGGCTCAGATCAAGACAAAATTATCCATGTTGTTTGTGTTGAACAACCCAATCACACATTAATAAATCAATATCAAAGCATTTTCAAACCGAGATAAAGCTGATCCATTCCTGCACCTTGTCTGTTACCCATTCAAATCTATGATAATTTTTTTTTCTTTATTCATTCACAGGATGAGGGCATCACTGGCTGGGCAGCATTTATTGTCCATCCCTAATAGCACAGAGGGCAGTTAAGGGTCAACTACATTGCTGTGGGTCTGGAGTCATATGTAGGCCAGACCAGGTAAGGAAAGCAGTTTCCTTCCCTACAGGAAATTAGTGAACCAGATGGGTTTTTCCCCTGACAATTGACAATGGATTCATGGTCATCATTAGATTCTTAATTCCAGGTATTTTTATTGTCTTCAAATTCCACTATCTGCTGTGGCAGGATTTGAACCCAGGTCCCCAGAACATTAGCTGGGACTCTGGATTAACAATCCAGCTATAATACCACTAGGCCATCGCCTCCCCTGTGGTTGCATTATGCTTACAGGGGTTACAGAGACAGGTATGGGTACGGGTCTGGGTGGGGGGTTCTTTTGAGGGTCAGTGTGGACTTGATGGGCAGCATGGCTTGCTTCCAGAATGTAGGGATTCTATAATATGTCAGTCTTCCAATTTCATCCATCACATGTTTAGTGCCAACTTCAGAGTCAGAAAGTTGCGGGTTCCCCCACACCCCCAAACCCCCAACAGACCCAAGTGCAAAAAATGAGGCAGACACTCTTGCAGAGGACTGAGGGAGTACTACAGTCCAAGAGGCGTTGGCTTCCAGATGGGATGCTAAAACAGAGGCCTTGGTTGCCCTCTCAGGTGGATGTAAAGGATCCCATGGTTTTATTTCAAAGGAGAATGGGCTTTGTTCCTAGTATCCAGGCCAATGTTTATCAAATCAACATCAAACCTGAATCAACATCAAACCTGAATCAACATCACAGCAAACAAACTATGTGATCATATTGTTGTATATGAGAGCTTACTCTGTGTAAACTGCTGTCTGCATTTCCCACATTACAACATGGATTATTAGTCAGAGATTATTAATTGTTTATAAAGTGGTTTGGAACATCCTGAGGGTATGACATCCACTAGATCAATGTACATATAGCTTTCAAAAGGTAAGCATGCTGTGTTAATATATTGTTAAATATAGTCATGGAGGTATAGAGATGTACAGCACGGAAACAGACCCTTCAGTCCAACTCACCCATGCCAACCAGACATCCCAATTAATCCAGTCCCATTTGCCAGCAGTTGGTCCTTATCACTCTGAACATTTCTTATTCATACACACATCCAGACGCCTTTTAAATGTTGTAATTGTATCAGACTCCACCACTTCCTTTGGCAGCTCATTCCATACACACACCATCCTCTGTGTGAAAAAGATGCCACTTAGGTCCCTTTTAGATCTTTCCCTCTCATGGTAAACTCTAGTTTTGGACTCCCCTACCCTGTGAAAAAGATCTTGGCTGTTCTTATGATTTTATAAACTTCTATTAGGTTATTCTTCAGCTTCCGATGCTCCAGGAAAAAAAACCTCCAGCCTATTCAGCCTCTCCCCATAGCTTAAACCCTCCAATCCCAGCAACATCTTTGTAAATCTTTTCTGAACACTTTCAAGTTTAGAAACATCTTTCCTATAGCAGGGAGACCAAATTGAACACAGTATTCTAAAAGTGGCCTAACCAATATCCTGCACAGCTGCAACATGACAAACCAGCTCCTATACAGGTAGTTCTCCTATAACGTGATAGCTGCGTTCTGGCGTGACCTCGCGCTATAGGAAATTGCCATAGAAAATCGCGTTACATTGAAATCTCGATACCTCTACAGCAGAAAGTTTGTGTTATCCAAACAGCGTCCACTATTCATCAATCTCATTACAGCCAATTCATGTTAACAAAACATGCCTTACAGCAGAACTACCTGTACTCAATGCAAGTGTGTCAAACGCCTTTTTCAGCACCTACAACTCTACTTTCAAGGAACTATGCACCAGCACCCTAGGTCCCAATAATTAACTGCCTTAGCCAACTTACCATTTGAACTACATACATTAGTTCATCTTTTTAGATAATAATTTAGCTTACAATCATTTGCAACCAATAATCCAGGTTATATTATTGGCAGGCAGCTGACGGACCTATCCAAAAAGATGTAAAAAAGAGACTGGTGACAACAAATGCACATCAACACTAAGAATAATTCTTTAATATCTTGATTTGTAAAAAACACTCATGAAGAGAGTTCTTTAAATATAATTGACATTAATTCTCTCACATTTGTATTGGAATTCCAAAACTCAACAACTTCATTATTGGAGATAGTAGGAACTGCAGATGCTGGAGAATCCGAGACAACAAGGTGCAGAGCTGGATGAACACAGCAGGCCAAGCAGCATCATAGGAGCAGGAAGGCTGACGTTTCGGGCCTAGACCCTTC